ATTTACCTCATCATTTGGTTTACTATTTCAGCTGGTGACTGGGTAAAATTCAATCTTCCAATCTCGTCTGCTGTAGCCGTATTGGGCTGGGGTCTTGTGCAATGGGAGGATGCCTACAAAACAGCTGGGCAGTTTGACGCAATGCTAGACTGTATTAAATGGCCTCTTGATTTTTTCCTGAAATGTTGGAGAAAAAATGACAACGAGTTATATGGGCAGGTAACATGCACACGTTTTACTGACTTTTAACGAAAATACCGAAATCAAATATTTCTTTGTAGAGAAATAAGTATACAAAGCATACAAATCAATAAGGTTTAGAATTTTAGTCGCCAGACATCTGTTATTCAAAAATATGTCAATTTGGCAAAATGTCACAATTTGTATATTTACAAATATCAGATCTACATATTAGTATGTTGATACAATCTGTTTTAATCAACTGAGATAATAACATTATTTGAACTTTTCCCTACAATATTTATATTTAATTATCAATATTGATGACGGTACAACGTAAACATCTCTATAAATAATTAACAATATTGATATACTATTTATTTTCTTGTCCTGGCTAATTAAGGTTGGTAACGGTGGTATTGACCACTCTAAAATGATGAGACCAGAGGATATGACAGCATCAAACATGCAGCGACCAGCATACAAGGTGACCTCAGCTCGAGGAGGAAGTGATCTGGCAGGCAGTATGGTTGTGGCTTTTGCAGTTGGTTCTATGGCATTTAAGAATAAAGGTTGTTTTACATTTTGTCTGACATACACAAGTCAATTATCAAAATTAAAAAAAAATCACCAATTAAAATTGTAACAATTGATCCCTTAAAGAAACAACACGACATGTTTAGAAATTTTTTAATTTTTACAACCATAAAATCATTCAGAAGAGATGTTTATTTCTAGTATTGTGCCGTTAAAATAATTTTCATCAACTTTTGAAATGACTATTAATCTAATATCCACAGAGAAAGGTCTTGTCAAAACTATAAAATACCTTGTTTGTGTCTATGAATCGATAGTACGCTTTTCGTATTTTTTTCCGAAGAGACCGCCGTGTGGTCAACAAATGTAAGAATGTAAGTCATGCTCCCAGATTAAATTATCACGGATATCCATGAAGAAAAGAAACGTGCTATAATAACCTACGCAATAAAAAACAGTGATTAGAGCCATTAAATGTGACAGTGTCCTGTTTACTTTTCAGACCCTGACTACTCCGCAAAACTTCTTGACGCTGCCGAGTCATTGTATGTGTTTGCTGATAAATACAGGGAAAAATACACAGCAGAAATAAGCGACGCTGGCAATTTTTATAGGTAAAAAGAAAATGACATTGTAATTTTAATTCTTTTCTGGTCAATATTGTGTAAAAAGTACTCGACTTTTGGCATCGCAAACTAATAAGTGCGTAATATTGATGATGCTAATGACATTTAGAACGAGTTCAAACAAATATATTTTAAATGTATGTACAGGTTAAACGTGAAGCAAAAATAATAAGATATATATATGCATAGGCCGTTATTTTGCTTATCTACCAGATGAGCTCTATGAATATTGTTTTCATTAAAATGATCACATTTGTTTTTTAAAAAATCTCTAATATATATTTTTTACTAAATTAGTTCGAGCAGTTACGAAGACGAATTGGTTTATGCTGCCGCCATGTTGTACAAAGCGACCAACAAAGCTTCATACTTAACTGACGCGGAGCAGAAATACAACCAATTCAATTTTGATGGCAAAACACCTTGGGCCTTCGATTGGGACGATAAAACAATTGCAACAAAAGTAAGATATAGCTAGGCAATCATCTACAGCTCTTTTGCAACTTATCATACAATTATTTATCAACAAATAAAATAAATGATTCAAAATGAATAAAAATAACATAGTAGCATTTACAACAGCAAAATAGATTGATATAATAAATGCCTTTACCTATAATGCTATTACATGTAATTAAAACAAAAATGCGGCGCCCTGTTTTCAAATGAAAGCGACCAAATGAAAGCGACCAATAATATTGACCAATATATTGAGATTAAATTACATTTAATTGAACTGATAAGCATATGGAACTTCTTGCAGGTGCTTTTATACGAAGCAACGGGCAAAACTACGTACAAACAAGGTATACAGAACTTTTTAAACAGCTACAGTCCGCAAGGAAACGTGCAGTACACCCCTGGTGGACTTGCTTGGCGGTCAAAATGGGGTTCTCTGCGATATACAGGTAGGTACATGGCTAACAGATTTATTCACTTTCAAATAAGTACCGGTATTTGCAATTAAATGCAAATTTAATGAAGTAGTACTTAAATACCGGTAGGTTCTTAATAAACAATCGTTTGTATCGTACTAGATGAATATTATCATAAAATATATAATGTTGTATATGATCAACATTGTTGTAAAGTTACCAGATATAGAAGATTTAAGAATGATGGTTAGGTTAAATACTACATGACAGTTAACTTCTTTTCAGCAAACGTAGCGTTCATCGCACTTATGGCGGCTGATCTCGGGATAGATGCGGAGGCTAATAAGAACTGGGCTAAAGGACAGATTGATTACATGCTTGGTGATAATCCAAGAAGCTCTAGTTACGTTGTTGGTTTTGGAAACAATCCACCAAAGCAACCCCACCATAAATCCAGGTACTTCACAGTCCCAATAAAATAGATTTAAACTAAATCGTTACTTAACCTGGCGGGAGATTTTTCAATGAAAATATAGTTAAAGCATTCCAAAAGATCCAACACACGTGTTAGTAAATGACATCATTCAACTTACCCGTTGAACTTCAACAAATGATTTCCATTCTTCAAAAATGGTCGACTGCATCGGTAAATTTAGTTAATTTCTTGAGCTAATTCTGAAAGCTTTAATTTTATGTAATCTGGATTCATGAAATACATTGATTTTCACAGCGTTTTTTAAGTAAATATTTCTTGAAGCTATGTGGGAAGCATTTGTCCTAACAGAAATCAGTACTATTCTTAAACATCTAAAAGCAACAATAACATTAAAATTAAGCATTTATTAACCAAGTTATGCCCTTCTAACCTAGTTATACTGATTAAAATATTTCATAGTATGTAACGTTTGACTGATTACAGGTGTGCTTTGATTTCTCAATTTAGATACAAGAGCAGATCTCCAATGTTCGGTCATAATGCATTTCATACAATAAAAAACGCTCAAAATATAATGACGCTTTTTATTCACATACAAGTTGATAAATTTTCAGCACGTGCCAGCCGAAACCTGCAGCTTGTGATTGGGGTGTATTTTCTGACACTAGTAAGGCTAATGCTTTTGTCTTGTATGGTGCACTTGTGGGAGGACCAGATGCCTCAGATAATTACAAGGATGTGAGAACTGACTACATCATGGCGGAAGTGACGTGTGACTATAACGCAGGCTTCCAGTCTGCTGTTGCTGGTGAGAATTGAATACATGTATAACTTTTCCTTTAGTTTTGTCAATATTCGGAAATTAGTCCTGTAGCTATAGATATTGATTAAAAAGTGACTCGCCATGTTTTGTATTATTCAGACTTTTTTCAAATCTATAAGATCTACATATATAGATAATAATTAACACCGTCGCGTAAATATCTTAAATCTGTATGTAGCTTTATAAATTTTAAATGCAAGCTATTTTCAATCTTTGATAAATATATGTACCATATGGAGAGTGATATATTCTTAATCTCTCAGTCATTTATATTTTTTCAGGATTGGTTCATTTTAAAAACAAGTGAAGTGAAAGTGCAATACAGAAAACAAATTTCTAGAATTATGTCATAATATGTCTCAATAAAATATGCTGTACTGTAAATTGTGTTTTTGTTTTATTTTCTTCTCAGTCGGCCAGAATTTTTTTCAATCATTTACGTTTTAAGACTTACTGTATTTAAGACTTTATTTCAAATTTTCACACGCACTCACGCACGCACACAAACGCACGCACACAGGAATCGATTAATAATGCGGTTTTACTTCAAAATACAATCACTTCAAATTACAAACAATCACAAAACAAAAGAGCAAAATATACCACCACCACCACCATCCAAACAACAACAACAACGCAGTGGGCATTAATTGATTTGAAATTTTACTATATGTAGTAGTATCCCGTAAAACTACAAAATGCGAAGAGAGGGTGAAACCAAAAACGCTAATAAAGTATCACAAGTAAGCCGGCAACATACAAGTAGGTATGATGTTTGAAGAGATAAAGTAAAGAAAGTTTCTAACTTCATAATCTCGATAGCAATGATTAACGAAAAAAAAACTACAATACAATCACCTAGAAAACTATTTAGCACGACACAAGATATGAAATGTCTGGCATTCAACAAAAAAATGCCAGACGAAACTCCCAAGACATTCTTATATTGAGACGTTTCATTCCCAAGACGGTTTACATCTAGACGTTGAACACTCCTTTTTTAAATTGTATAGACGTTTCAACATCAATTACTTTATTTCAGATATTTGACAGAACATTAAACACCCTTTCTTTAATTTCAAATGAAAATTAGATTAAGTGTTGCATTTTATTATTTTCAAGTGTTTGCATTTTTGAAGAAAGTGTTAATTTTAATGAATTTTACAGAAGAAAGTGGCTAGCCGTACGGGCCCGTGCGGCTAGCCGTACGTGAGTCACGTACGACTAGCCAGGACGCACTGTATTGGCTAGCCGTACAGCACTTTTCAAAATTATATGGTAGTAGAAAATGCATATGTTATTTTATCACTTTAAGCGAGGATTTTTACAGAAACAGCCATTGTCTTCTTATGTTTACTCTTGAGAAATTAATCGCATTGTTGGCTATCGATCTTTGTCATCTGGTTGCATTTAGACAATTGAAATAGTTTACAAAGTTTTGATAATAATCCTTTTTTGTTTCATTTAGTTTTATTTTCGACACCTTTAAAATGGAAAAGAAAACACCGATATTAATTGTTGTTGGGCTCTGATAATTGCGTCAATTACCGACGGAATAGAAGTTTGTCCATCATTTAGGAAAGTTTGCATATTCCGTTCCGTTTATCTTAGAACTGTATTTGAAAATTATAGAAATATTTTTGCTTATCACCGTTTTCTTTTTTCAATGTTCTTTTTATTTATTTATTTATTCCACTCCGATCAATATTTATCAAATGATTTAATAAGTCATCTTTCATACAAATAAAACAACAAATGATAAGCATAAAAATCAAAGACGGTATAACTTATAACATGCAACTTTGACACTTTTATCAAGATAGATTATACGTACAACGCTTGTTCGTATTCATTTTTTTACAAAATGACGGAGCATCTTTATTAAAGTGAACACACGAGGACAAATGCAGAGACTTGATTAAAATCCTCGTTTAAAGACACAAAATAACATATATGCATATAATTTTAAAAAGTGCCGTACGGCTAGACAATACAGTGCGTCCTGGCTAGTCGTACGTGACTCACGTACGGCTAGACCTTTTGGCTAGCCAATTCCTTTACGGACAGAATCTGCTTAATCTGTATAATTATGCTATATAATAAAAATACTGTTTGGTTTAAAATGGTAAGTTTTTGTTTTTACGTTGGGATTTTAACGTATTGGTGTTAACCTCCTTATATATATGAAAAGCCTTGCCATCGGAGTGAAATGTATGTCTACTGACGCAAAAGGGACCCCATCCACCCATCCACAGAAGGTGCCATATTGTTTTATATATTTATGCAACATTTACACGCATAAACAAAGTAGCAGAATAGCGCATGAATTTTGCTAATTTATAGATAACATTAAACATCTTTCTAACATTATAAGAAACATTTAAGGGATGCTTTCAATTTGATTACCTACAGTACACTTGTCCAACAAATTGTGCGCTTTAGGGCTTATTATATAGACGATGGTCGCCCCCCCCCCCCCCCCCCCCAAAAAAAAAAAAAAAAAAAAAAAAAAAAAAACAGACATCTATTATGGAATGCCGGTAGGGACATGCCACTTTGCTTATTTGCCAACTACTTAATTGCTTATTTGCTAATTGCTGATTTGCAAATTTGCTTATTTGCCAATTTGCTTATTTGCTAATTGCTTATTTGCTTATACAAGTATACATAATTTTTTATGCTTTTGTCAGGCGACACGACACGTCCGACTCGCTAAGTTCTTGTTTGATATAAAATAACAAGTCTTTGTAGACTTTATTTCAAGCTCATGAACCTATATCATGTTAATATTATGTTTATAAGGTTTTGTTAATTATAACTTGTGACAATTATGATCAATCCATCATTACTTAGAATATAGGTAGAAAGACAGATGGATACATTTTAAACAATTTCGAAAAAAATAAATTCAGTTTCAGAAAGTAGTTGTTTTTTTTAATTATCTTGAGTTTCCGTTTTAGCTCCACTATTCAGAGAATAGGGATGCTATTCCTAGTAACTTGTTTTTCTGTCATATCTCTGTTACTTTTGCTGATTCATGCATCTTACTGCAACTTTGCATAAACTTTGCGTTACAAGCATGCATACAAAGTACATGAAGAAGCTGTGCCCGTTATATACTGAATGTCAAGGTCACCAATGTATTGTACTGAGAAACCTTTGTTTTTCTGTCATATCTCTGTTACTATTGCGTATATCTAACTGTTACTTCACATAAGCGTTAAATAGGCAGCATGCATACACAATATTCAAAGAGGCTTTGTCCATTATACCCTAGGTCATGATCATGGTCATGGTCACCTGATAGCATGTAAAATGTTCAATATGAAAAAATGGAAAAGTGTGACCAAATTTCAAAACCATTGAACCAAAGCAAAATGTTGATGCACACACTGACATAAGTGATCTCAAAATCTTACAGAGCTAAAAACGAAGCCTATTGCTTAAGTGCAAAGACAAACACCCGTGTTAAGCATGCACCAAATGTATTTTTTTTTTGATACTATGTGTTCGTACCACTAAAATGAGGCCCTCTGTGACAAATCTGCTGAGAATAACGACATTTTATATGCCATAAAATAATAAATAGTTTTGTTTTCAAGTTCTTTTATTTTCAATCTTTAACCAATATTTTTCACTTATATATGACTAATCAAGTGTTTATTATGCCACCAATCTCTGACTTAAGCTGCACAAACAGATCTATAGCTGCAACACATTATAAGGCATTCTCAAGCACAGATGCTGGCGGGTCAGATCCTGCCCTTAACGTGATACGCGTATGTAAACACTATATCAAAACTATTTTAATATTTATTTAAATACAAATTGGACATTTGTTACAACGATAAAATCATTAAGTACTTTATTGAGACTTGGTGGTATATGGTATTTTTTCATACCGGTATATGTAAAAATTGCTTGAAAACAAGTTTTAACGATGTCCAATTCGTGTTTAGATATCAAAATATTTTAAATAGAGTGTTTACAGGGGCACGTATCACGTTGGGGGTACGGGATCTGACCCCAAGCGTCTGTGTTCTCAAGGACATGTCAGCCATCAGTTGTAGACATATATCTGCGTAGGCATCACTGCAACTAAATTCATTGACCAACAGTATTCTTGGAAAAACACTGAATTTACAAGAATACTGTTGGTAAAAGTTAACAGATCTGACTCAACTGGTTGTCTGTAGTCAGATGTTCCATATACTTCCGGCACAGTGTAAACTTTTTCTATTGCAAGAAAGCAAATTAGCAATAGGCAAATAAGCAAATACGTAAACCAGCGGTTAACAAATAAGCAAATTAGCAATTCAGCAATTGGCAAATAAGCAAATTTGTCATTAAGCCTATCAGCCATTGGCAAATAAGCAAATCGGCAATTAGCAAATAAGCAATTCAGCAATTGGCAAATAAGCAAATTGGCATGTCCCTACCGGCATTCCATAATCTATGAAATATCAGATTATAAAAACGGTCGGTCTTGCAGTCGAAATATTGAGACTATTGACCAATGTACTCGATTAACTTTCATTTGACTTTAATTTGCCGAAATAAATCATGTACATACCAAGGGGGATCACTCTATGTTGATAAACAAAAGACGGATCAGTTTTTTAATTTAAACTTTGTTTTTGATCGCTGACAGATAAAATGAACGACTTAAACTTTTCAGAAAGACCATCAGCAGATTATTGCACAAAAATGTCTATTGAAAATTTACTGTCTGATAGTGATTCTACAGCAACTGACACAAAATTGGTGTTTCTCTCGGGATTAATGTCTGCTATTGAAAACAAGCATGACAAAATAAACGAATGCAGTTCCTTCCATCAACTCTTTCAAAAAGGAGAGTGGAGGGCGAATTTGTTTAATTTACTGGTAATTATTACACTGGTTCTAGCCACTAAACTGATGCACAGGATTAATTTCAAGTTTATTTTCATGAATAACAATGTGAAAGTAAAACTAAAACGCTTGATAGGTGCATAGTCTTCAGTGGTTTTTTTTTCACTTTAGGGGGAAGGGGGTCGTGCCCTTTGGAGGGGGAAAATGCAATAGGAGGGGGAATTTCATTTGTTTATTTATTTTATATTGTTTTTATTCCGGTAGAAAAGGGGAGCAACTCTTGCAACACAAGATTAAAATGCGTCGCTTCTTAATATACGGATAAAAAATATTGATATGTCGCATGTTAAACTTGTTTGGACGCTGGGAGTAGCTCCCATTACCTACCCGAGAACGATTTGTAAACAACCTTGCTTAACAGTAAGTCTAACAGGCATAAAATAAAACATTTTTCGGCAGTTAGTTGCAAAAAAAGGATATTCATTGCAGGCAAATTCGGGGCTGCTTTATAGGGGGAAATTTTGGCTTTGAGGGGGAAAAAAAACATTTTTGTGAGGGGGGAATGGGGCCGAAATTTGCCGAATATTTTGGTGAAAAAAAAACACTGGTCTTGGAGGTTTTGAGACTTTTTATGCCAAATGCCTAAGAATTATGGATAACACGGTAATATGAGGCACCGATAATACCCAGTATATGTGATAAAAAAGTATTACCACATGAGTGATATTTTTACCCACCATTTCCCACTTTGAGTGTTTCCCACCTAAACACTTTTTTCATTTGTATGTACTTAAATTTTTTAAAACTCAATAGAGCAAGACAGGGTAATATTTATTAAATTAGGCAAAGCCTATGAACGGGGAAATTGTTAAAAAAGTTGATTTCATTATTTTGTCAGTTTTAGAGGTGTCATGTTATATTTCATGCCTGCTTCCATTTTCACTCGGAACACTTGACGATTATTATGTATCTGAAAAGTTGAGATTTGTTCCGTTATTGGAATACCCAGCCTATTATTATTGAGTTACATATTGTAAATGGCGGCGCTCAAATAGAATTGACACTGAAAATTTCATTGATAGGTATAGAATTCTATATATTTCTTAACTGTTTTTTATTTGATTTTCTTTTAAAATTTCTTAACTGTTTTTTTATTTGATTTTGTTTTAAATATACACATGTAGTCTATAGCCAGGCAAGGCATCAGTGGCCGTACACTTTTACTACAGATTTTATAATGACAATAGTTATACACTTAGAACTGCACACTAGTAAAAATGTCTAGTTGTGCCAAAGTTTGCTGTGCTGTCTTTAAGGAACAGATGAAAATAATGATTGAATACTTTGAATTTACTGAGGAAACCTCCTTGCATGAAAATTCTCAATTTTTTTAAACATGTTTTGCTACAGTTTCCCAAGCTTTATGTAATGTAGTTAATGTTCTCGAACTAGCAAAAACAAAAACAAATCAAGATTCTTTCTTTTCTTCTGTTATAACAAAAAGGCATCACCCTCCCTAACTAAGTTTGTATGTTCTGTTCCAGAAATCCTGTTTAACTGTAGAAAAGAATAGATATGTTATTTTCACTGCAAGAAAAGTACTCACATGCCTTGTAAAGAATTTCAACTCACAGGTAAATATTTGTAATCTGCTTCATATTAAAAAGATTGAATTTTCTTTATGCATCCGAAATCAATATTTACAGTTTTTAAAGTCTTTTTTCGTTGACCTGCCTGCAGTGTTACCCTTAGTTTAGCATAGTTTAACAATATGTTTGTATGTAACACAAATGGTATCACATCAAAATGCTGTCATACTATTGTAATATCTCTTTTATAAATAACAATGGCTTTATTAACTCCTGCAGCTTGATTTTTGTGTCGCCTTGAAAAAGGTGACATATAGGGGTTACTTTTGGCATCAGTGTCGGCGGAGACAAGCAGACCTGGGGATGATTACATCTTTACAATTACTTTCAGATTTTATTGTAATTGATTAAGGTTGATTACTCAGGCTTGTCTCTTAAATCAATTGAATTACAATTACTTTAAGAGAGTAATTGATTGATAATTGATAACATTCAATGTACAGTAGAATCCCTACATAAGACCACCCTGGTATTAAGACCACCTCCCTATTAAGACCATTTTTTGAAAGGTTCATTATGTCAGTGGTTACTTGATCCAGAATTAAGACCACCTGCTTACCCACATTTAAGACCACCAGATTCAGTATAATTCTTTGTTTTATTTAATTTTTGATTTGACCCTTCTAATGACACCACTGATAGTATAGACAACATCTATCTAGATCTTAGATTTGTTTTCATGATCTGCTTGAATTATTTGGCATGATTCTTGATTTCACAAGGTGTGAAAAACAGTAATTATTGGGTTATTGTATGGAATAAGGTGAGAAGGTAAATTTTAGAGTTGTTTATTAAATGTTGCCTTCAGCACATTTATTTTGTGAAGATTTGATTTTTTATTCGATAAATGATTTATGTACATCATATAATAATTGATATTGAAATCAGACAAAAATAAAATTAACATTAAAGATCCTGTATGTTTTGTGATTGATATTTTAACTGTATGAATACCACAATAGCAAAAAATTATATATGTACATATTTATGCAAATAAAACAATTTTCAATTATCGAAGAATATGTAAAATGTGTACTGCAAATATTTGAGAACATTATATTTAATCAATAAATTACAGGCATTTATTTCTTATTGGAAAATTTGACTTGGAATTTATAGAAAATAAATTTCTAATTACCTCCCTTTATTTACATGAAATGTTAAATTGGGTAATATCTTTATAAATAATGCTTATTGGAACTTACAATATTGACAAATATTAATTTGAGCATCATATTTATGAAATAAAACCATGAAAAAAATGTGTTACAGGATCTTTAAATTTCTTCAGAAGTATGTTTTTCTTCTCATGAGATTAAATATCATAGCACTCTTTTATGAGTGTAGGACAAAAGCCCTCCTGGACAAAAGCCCCCCCGTCAAAAAGTGACAAGGCGGACCAAAGCCCCCTCGTGAAAATGACAAGGTGGACAAAAGCCCTCCCGTGAAAATGACAGGGCGGACAAAAGCCCTCCCGCAGCAAATACATATTTGTATGTTGAATAGTTTCTATTGTCTTTTCAATGCACTCAACATATTAAAATTGTAATCATGATTTTTCTCCATTGGCATATCTGTGTTTGTATGAGCTTGAGCACATTCCTGAGAGGCATTTGAATAATAAGTGCTAAAATCTGTAAGTGCATATTTATTCACATAGATATGAAGAATAACTCCTACATGTATGTGCAGTTAATATTAATAGAGTAATAAATGATGAAAAGAAGTTTCAGGAAGGTATATTCAGAATAAAAGGAGGTTCTAGCTCATACACATACTTAGGTCAATTTAAAACAACAGTAATTTTCATGAGAGGGCTTTTGTCCGCCCTGTTATTTTCACGAGAGGGCTTTTGTCCGCCCTGTCATTTTCACGGGAGGGCTTATGTCCGCCTTGTCATTTTTTGAGAGGAGGGCTTTTGTCTGGGAGGGCTTTTGTCCGTTTCCCCACTTTTATAGTGTCTTTTATATTGTATTTGTAGGTTAAGATACATATTGTTTGATTATACAAAACGACTAAAATAGACCATAGTCATAAAAAATTTAAGCAATGATATGAATATTCACAATTAAGACCACCAGGGCAGGCAGTGGTGGTCTTAATTGAGTGTATTTACTGTATAACTGTAAAGACAAAAGTTAACTGTATCATGTCAAATAAAGGCACCCTTTGAATTTAAATAGTTTCCTGTCAAAACTGAAAGTAATCAATGTCAATCAAAATTGTAATCATAATTGCTGACTGAATTTGAGCTGTAATTGATAAATTTATTACAATTATTTTAATCAATTTTGCATAAGGTAATCACTAATCAATAACGTGATGATTACAGTGTAATCATGGAATCGATTAAAAAAACCATGATTATGATAAACGTTTACCCCAGGTCCCCTTAGGTTTGTCCAGATCATAATTCAGTCACTAAAAATCAGTTAGACTCCAAACTTTGTATGCATGCTTTTTTCAATGAATCTAAATGCAGTGCACAAGCGTCCTTACTCTGCACTTCTTAATTTTTGAGTTATTGCTCTTTGTTCATTTTCATACTTTATTTTTGTTTGGGCCATTTCTCCTAAACTATAAAAGCTATGGATTTGAAACTTCATAGGATGATAGATCTCATTAAGAAGAAGTGCAGTGCATAAAAAATCCGTACTTCACTAATTTTTAAGTAATTGCCCTTTGCACAAGAACTATGCCCTTCATGATTTTTGAGTTATTGCCCTTAGTTAATTTTCTTACTAAATAGGCTTGTCCAGGCCCCGTGTTCACAAAGAAAATATTAGGATCAGGATCAGTTGATCCTGCCCTTACCAAAATGACTTTAAGTGACTTATATGTTTCTTATATGCAACTTATACTTGACCTATAAGAGAACTATAAGTTACATATAAGTCACTTATAAATCACCTAAAAACCTGTCTAAGTCAGTTATAGGTATATGCTATATATAAGTCACTTTTGGCCATTTTTTCCCCAACATATAAGTCACATACAAGTCACCTATAAGTGCCTTATACTGGTGAACTTTGAAGTAACCAGTTTCTATGTTAGATATAAGTGAAAACTTAGAACTTTTGCGAGACTTTTTATTACTGAGCAAAGCTGAAAAAATTACTAAGTACAAAAACATGAGAAAAATTGATAAAATTTATTGAAGTTGATATGTAATTCTTTGCTTTAATACAATGGGTATCAAAATACTCAGAATTTAAAATACTATAATCTTAGACCTAAATCACAAACAATTAAGATTTTTTTTTAAATGTTGCTTATTAATTTTTGAACACAGCTGGGGGTTTTTAAGTAAGATAATAGGAAAAATGATTATCAATTAAGTATATTACCTGTAAAAAATTTTGGTACATATTCTGTGCGGAATTGGGACAGAAATGGCATTCAATCAGAGATTTCTAGGCTACCATGGACAGAAATGAAATTCCATGTCATTTCTTCTCACAAGGAAAATATTTCACATAAAAGTCACCCAAGGCATAAATCTACTCTTGTTTTTTTTCTAACTTGAAACAGACATTGTAATCTATATGTTTTTTTATCAACTGTACTTCTTACAGACCTAATTTCGGGGAAGTAAGATATTCTAACAAGAAAAAGAGGTGTATTTTTTTTTTAATATACAAGTGTTATTTTTAAGACATTTAGGCCTAGTGTATTTTAGATATTTAAACAATAAAAAAAACAGTGCTTGAAATAAACAGTTTCTATTGCTCTTTTAATCTATATAAAATCAAGGAACCAATATGCCTGAAGATTGCTTATATTTTCTACATCCACTGATACACCACATAGATAAGAGGTCTGATAAAACTGGCCACCTGCCTTTGCCACCATATGTGCATGACTAATTTTTTTGACTGGTCATTCCTACAAATCAGACTGTTCCATGTGATTATTTTGGGGAAAGATAACATTTCCTATCCTGAATTTGTAAAAAAGGACATTGCATTTTCTTTTTCAAAATGTATAATGAATTTCAAACTTTACATATCTATTAGTTATTTGATTTTTTTTCACATTCAATGATTGTAAGATAGAACTGATGAGTGCTTTGATTTTTGGATTTACCCTGTTTTACATAACATTGGACCTGCCCAGGTACACAGTTGTAAGTCTGAAACATTTAGGTTAGCAAGCTGGTGGAAATCACAGAGAATCTACTTGATGTTTTAGGAATTTTAGAGATATTGTTTTGTTTAAGATGTTTAAGTATAGTAATGGTAAATAAGAATGACAAGAAGAATCACCTTGGACAAGAAGATAATACAACAAAATCAGGTAAATACCTTTGAGTTACATTTATGCAGAATTGATACAGGTTATATATTAAACAATCAAAGTAAGATGGCAGCAAACTAAAATTTGTAACTTGAGAGATCAAGGCTGTTTTTATTTCTAAGCTTCATACATTAGATTTACTACTAATACTTGTAATTGATTTAAATCTAGATTTAATAGTTAAATTAATTGAATTTTTAGAACTAAATAGTACAATCAGTAGTTTTTATGCAGCTGAATAAATCATAATCATTTTATTGTTGTTTTCAATGGAGAAATCTGATATTACATTTTACATACATTGCAGGCTAGTGGGACCATTTCTTACTTTGAGATGCCAGGTGAATAATGATATGCAGTATTGAGCCTGAAAAGGTATATTTTTTTTAATCTCTATACTTACTGCTCTAAATCTTTCACAGAAAAGAGCATAATAAATGTTGTTGCAAATAGTGCAGTTAATCAATTCTTATAGAGACTTTAAGCAATTCTTAAGCAACACTGTTGACTTGTGCACTAAAATGAGATACTGTGTAACTTAGTATATAGCATAAATAGCTAATATAGTTTGATGATATAAAAAATATGAAATATAACTGCATATACAATGGTCGGAATTTATTCCACAACTTTTTTAATTAATTATGAATTTTATCTTTAAAGGTGAACACAGCCACATGAAGTTCTCCGAGGAAATAGAAGCAGAGCACTGAAACAGACATCAATAAAAGAAATAGTAGTTTGAATAATCAGAAACATTTGATCAAATTTATGATTTGAACAGTTCCTTACCGACAGACTTCCAGCAAAAATAATTGTATAAATAAAGTGTTTGATTCCAAGAAAACCAGTAAAAACAAAAACTTGCTGCTAGAAATTAATATTGTTTTTGTACTAGTGAATGTAAGATGATTGAACTGAAGGATATGTATGTTGAATTTTGTATTTTGCTCATTTATATGACTATGAATATAAATTAATAAACATTTTTGAAATTAAATTACTAAACTTTTATTTTATTTCAAGCTTTTTTGACATCAAGCAACATAATATGCGACTTACATGTGACTTATATGTTACTTATAAGTGACTTATATTAAGTCACTTATATGTAACATATAAGTCACTTATATGTTACTTATAAGTTGAGCATATCTTTGACTTACATGTCACATATTTGTGACTTATATATAACTTATACTTCACTTATATGTCAAAATGCCAGACATATACTGCACTTACATCTAATTTGCATTTAAAATACATATACTTGACTTATAGGTGAATTGACTAAGTGAAGTATAATCTACATATAAAATAGCCTATAAGTGACTTATAAGTGAATTCCGTAAGGGAGATTTTATTTTCATTGTTTTATAAAACTAAAACTGACCGTATTATGCTAGAATCAAATGGAACATATTCAAAATATATATAATTGCTTATTTGCAAAGAAACCATCCAATTATGGGATAAAATCAACAAATAAGAGAATATATGCAAAAATAAACGGATCAAAATGAGGATCAATTTTAGGATCAAGATCAAAATTTGGATCAACTGTAAAATACCTATTTCTTGTAAAAATAACAATAAATTCATTCTAAAATTTCATAAACATGCCATTTCAAGTCCAGTTTTATCAAGTTAATACTGAAAATTCAATGTAAGAGAATAAATAATGGAGAATATATCGAGTTTTTAAATTTGATCCTTATCTAGATCCTGATCCTTAAATCTTTGTGAACACGGGGCCAGAGCATAACTTGATCATTTTAAGTTTGAATGATTCCAAATTTAGTATGTAAGCTTTTTCATTGACCTGAAATGCATTGCTTAAGAATCCATCACAGGGTTCTCCATTTGATCTGTCAGTGTAAAAACTTTTCTATGGTATTTTTATTTTTGATAGTACAACAGTTTTATTAATTCTGATGTAACATTGTTACAATTAGTTCAAATGCCACTAAAATTCAAGGTACATGTACATTGTAAGAGCAGTGTTTATAAATAACCTATATTTAAGAATAATGCCTGACAGCTATACTGCTCACAAGGTGACTCATCCGACGGGCAGCGTTCTAGTTGTGATAAATACATGTATGTTTTGCATTTCAGGAAGGAGTGAAAGTAATACAACAAATATTTGATACCAATGATCATCTTGAGCAAATTCATACAGGACTACAAATCTGTAAAGTTTTATTTTCTAAGAAAAATGCAAACCATGAGGCAATGGTCTGTCAGCTGGGACACTTAGTAACTAGAGCTTGGCAAACTTTAATAACTATGATTCGGGATGATAACATATATAATCAATGCTTGTTAGAATTATTTTCTGTGTGTATAAAACTTGCAAAAATTGTTTTGACAAAAACTATGACGAACGAACCTGCGCTTATTTTAAAAGTTATACTGGGCAATGGAGAAGATTTTAATCAAAGTCTGTTTGACAAATCTATTAAGACGTATGTGAAGACAAAACTAATGAATTTCCTATATGTTATCATGAGACAGAGTGATTTAACAAACATTACAATGTTAAGTGATGAGATTTTCAGCATTTCTGTTTCTCTATTTAACAAACTATTATCCTGGGATTTGTCAAGCATTTTAAAGAAAAGTGGACGGACTACATTTATTGGGAATTCTCTAGATGTAACTGATAGTTTAACATGTGACATTGGCCACATTAGAGACTGGACGTTCCTTTGTTTTTGTTTATCATCTTGTTTAATACATCAGGAAGGTATGTGTTTTTAAAAATAATTTCTCTCAGTTTTGTCAATGGGATGCATCTAATATTTGAACTAAAAGAGCATTTCTGAAAGAGCATTTCAAAGGAGGTCTCTTTGGCTAGGTTGCTAAAGGCACTGACTTCAAATATCTTAATCCATGCCACTGTGTTATAATCCTACAAGGGACTTCCAGGATAATCAGCTGGGGCCATTTTCATGCCCCCATTTAAAAAGTTGGGAGCATACGGCATATGATGGGGTGGTCTGTCTATCAGTATAGACTTACCTCCTGTTTCCTTGCCCTATCAATAACTTGAGAAAAGTGAAACTGTGTCTTATATGATTTATAATTTGGTTGAGACATTGTAAACTCTGAAACATATATGTTTAAAGCCAGCACTGATACATATCTGTTTACAGCCAGCACTGATACATATATGTTTACAGCCAGCACTGATACATATCTGTTAATGGCCAGAACTGATACATATCTATCAACAGCCAGCCCTGATACATATCTATCAACATCCAGCACTGATACATATCTATCAACAGCCAGCCCTGATACATATCTGTTTACAGCCAGCACTGATACATATCTATCAACAGCAAGCACTGATACATATCTGCTTACAGCCAGCACTGATACATATCTGTTTACAGTCAGCACTGATACATATATATCAACAGCCAGCACTGATACATATCTGCTTACAGCCAGCACTGATACATATCTATCAACAGCCCAGCACCGATACATATTTGTTTACAGTCAGCACTGATACATATCTATCAACAGCCAGCACTGATACATATCTGTTTACAGCCAGCACTGATACATATCTGTTTACAGTCAGCACTGATACATAACTATCAACAGCCAGCACTGATACATGTCTGTTTACAGCCAACACTGATACATATCTGTTTACAGTCAGCACTAATACATATCTATCAACAGCCAGCACTGATACATATCTGCTTACAGCCAGCACTGATACATATCTATCAACAGCCAGCCCCCTGATACATATCTGTTTACAGCCAGCACTGATACATATCTGTTACAGTCAGCACTGATACATAACTATCAACAGCCAGCACTGATACATGTCTGTTTACAGCCAACACTGATAC